GTTATCTCACAGTCTTCTGTGCCGTACTCGGTCGGGGCACCGAGGCCGAGCCAGAGGAGGGGGTCCGAAGGAAAGACGAGTCGCATCCAGCTTAAGGCGACATGGTGGCGCATCCGAGGGCACATGAAATAGTGAGCTATCGCATCAGGGCCTCCACATCCAAAGATGCAGTCACGGGTGTGCCGCGAAACATGCATGCGTGCACTTGTGGTCCAGCCTCCGCACACGCTCTTGGTGTACGCCCACCGCCACGCAGGCCTGACTTGCTCAAGACATTCACGCACAAGAGCCCATCTCGTATCAAGAGCTGGTGGACATGTAAACTGCCACTTAGTGAGCCTGCGAGCGATCGTGAGAAACAATCTATCAGGAAACACAGCGTGCATGAGCGCAGTGCCTACAACTCTCTGAAGCTTGGGGGGACGAACCTCCTGGAGAGCACTGCGAATCTCTCGGCGCCCCTCAGCCCGGGCATCGTCCCAAACACGAACCGAGAAGGGGAAGAGAGGGCGACACAAGCCGTTACGACGACGCTGGACGACACGAGGGGTGGAGGCGGTGAGCTCCTGGAAATACTGCACAATCGCTTGGCCATGCTTCCAGCACGGGGCGCACCATTCCCCTAGAGCCCAGCGGGGGGCGGAGAGGGGGAGCGATCCACAAGCGGCATCGGCGGCCTGCTGCAACTTGTCGTAGGCAGCGTGCCAGTCGGGCACGGTGTGGGTCAATGTGCGCCACGCTGCCGAGACACCCAGGAGCATGAGCGATTTCGGCGTCGAGCCGATCCACTGCAACGACAACAAATCGGCGCGAGAAAACGTATTGGGGGGAAGACGGAGCAGCTTGTGAAGAGCGAGAGCCTCACGCGAGAGAGCAAGAGGGGACATGGGGAAGAATTGGGCGAGATAGCCAAGCGTGCTAACAGCATACGTGTTATACTGATACACCAGGAGCGGCGCGGCAGCACGAGACGAGGGGAGCTCGATCGCCCGGTGCCACCACTTTTGGGACGCGACGTGCCACTGGTCAAGAAGGCCTCCACCGGGGCCAAACTGGACACCGAGATACGCTGTAGCCGGCTGAACATCAAATGAACAGAACGTAGGGACCTCAGATTGGAGCCACAGCTTGATTCGCGACACAAGCTCGGACGTACATTCAGTCCAGAGCGGCACGATGCAACATTTGGCATGCTGTAGAGACAAGTGTGCATGGCGCTCGATGGCACTAAAATGCGGGGCTAATCGTGCGAGCGTGCGGAGCTGGGGCAGGAGGGTGCCAATGTCGTCGGCACAACCTCCTACTTCTCCTGGGATGTCTCCTGGCGGGGGTTGCTCAACAGCCTCAGACAACAACCTCACCACAGGGTCGAAAATGAGCGCCCAGACCGATCCCGAAAGGGGGCAGCCCTGGAGAACCCCGCTGCACAAATAAAACATAAAGTGGAGCTCTCCACCGAATCGTCCAAAGCCTCGGGGGCAAAAGTAGAGGGCACGAAGGAGGTTGAGGTAGCCTGGAGGAACGCCGTGCCGGCGAAGAACTTCGAAGAGCCACTGGTGGGCGACCGATGGGAATGCCGCAGCAATGTCAAATGAAACAAAACAGGGCATGTTGAGGTCACCGCCTGGAGCGATGCTAAGAGCACGTGCTGAGGCATCCATGTGCACAATGTTGCGGATGAAGTTTCTTCCGGTGACAAAGCCACGCTGATTGCCATGCACTCGCTTGGCAACAACCTGACGTAGCTGATGATTGGCAGCGCTGGCGACGATTTTGGTGTCAGTGTTGCGCAGCGAGAGAGGGCGGACTTTGCTCGGCTGACGCACGCAATCGAATACGTCTTCTGGATTGTTGCCTTTCGGCAAGAATGCAAAGACAGAGTCGTTCAAATCGAGGGGCACAGGGTCGCCACGATAAAGCTGCAAGGATAGATCATGCAGTATATCGAGTTGCTCAGGTATCGCGGCCCAGGCTTGGTAGGTGAACCCGTCAGGTCCAGGAGCTGAGTTACGGGCACGCCGCATGGCCACCTCGAGGCCCGCGAGCGTCGGGGTCGGAAGCGAAACGAAGCCGGAGCCATCCGCAAACACACCCGAGCCATCGAAAACACGGTCTAAATAACTGCGGAGCCTGTCGGGATCAACTCGCCGGGCTTTAAAGACCTCCCCCCAATGGTCCGACAAGGCACTGCGAATATCTGCGCTCGAGCGCACAACGCCGTTACGACACTCCCCCGCGGTCGACTCCGGTCGGACCCCTTGGAGGATGAGGGCGCTGCCACGGGGCCTCCAGAGCTTGGCACGTTTCTGGATGGCTCTCTGCTGCCGGCGTGCCTCTGCAGCAGTTTGGGCCTGTCCAGCCGCATTCGCACGTTGGGCCAGGGCGGCAGCTTGCGACCGTCGGCGCTCAAGTGCGGCAGCACTCATCTCACGGGAAAGATCTCGGAACGCATCGGGTTCGAGGAGAGAGAGCAAGGAGGAGGAGGAGAGGGCGAGAAATCGAGCACCAAACTCGGTGGTGGCCATCAGGGTGGCTCCTGTCCGAAGGTCTTGTCTCCAAACCGCGCGAGCAATTGCCCGCAGCGTGACAAAACGGGCCTCGCATGCGTTCGTATCATTTGACGTGAGCGGGAGGCGCTGGAGCTCATTACGGGTCTCCCGTGCAGCCTCCCACATATATTGCTTCATATACTGCCAGCGGAGGTCCGCTGGAAGGTGTGAGATATCGACAGCATGCAACAATGCGGACAGTTTATCGCGATAGCGATAATCAGAAAAAATGAAATCAGGAATCCGAAGCTCATTTGCTGACCCCGTGCCTCGATTCTGGAACGAGAGCGAAACCAACGCGTGGTCGCTCAGACGGGCGTCCGAAAGCTGGCAAGGGTCAACATGAACTTCCATGATGGCATCAACCTCGAGCATGAATTCCGTGGGAGTCCCAAGGAAGACACGATCAAGAGCGACAGCTGTGAAATGTTGCCTGTCAAATCTCGTGGGCAACTCAGCGCTGATCTCAGTGGCAGCTAACATGAGCGGGCGCCAGAAGGCAGAAAGAGGGGACACGTGAGTGTCCACAGCAAGGCGCGCAGAGGCTGGCTCAGGATTGAGGTAGTTGACGGAGGCCGTGTCGGCGATGTTGAAATCCCCCAGGGCCACGAAGGTGTGCATCAACGGGTCCACGCGACACCAACGGAGGAGCTCATGCCATCGATCCCGTATCTTCGGAAGCGCCGCGGCTGGCAGCTCGTAGTTGTGAGCGTTCATGATTGCCATGGAGCACTGCGTGAGCGGATGTGTGACTTGAAGGATCTGAACTCGTCCAGGGGCGAGAACTTCGTGAGACAGGAGAGGCCGTTCAGATGCAGGGCGTTGAAGTTCATGTGACGCCGACACCCAGGGGAGCAAGATGGCGATACCCCCAGCACCCGGACGATCCGTGCCAGAATGAAACAACTTGTAGTGGAATGGAGAGGCGCAGGGGAAGGAGGGGGAGGAGGAGGAGAAGGAGGAGGAGGATGAGGAGGAGGAGGAGGAGGAGAAGAGGACGAGGGAGGGAGAGAGGAGAGACGAGAGGGAGGATATGTATGGTCCAGGGTCTGGACCCCCCCTCCCCTCATGCTGATGCCATCGGGCCCCCCCCCCGCGCGATGCGCCCCCCCTCCCTCCCTGTGGGTGTGATGTGGTGCC